TGGCCTAAAGTTAGAAAGCACGTTGTCAAGAGGCGTGAGGCTGGGTGAAGGTGACATGAGACTATGGGCAAGGGAAGCAGTCACTGAGTCCCTGGAGTGAGGAAGCCAGGGGTCCGGGCAGGTGGCGGAGCCCTCAGTGCCTGCCTCAGGTACAGGGTACTATGCCTGCCCTCTGCAAGCTATAGGTCCAGAATCGGGAGGCAAGCCACCACTTGCCCTCACTCCCTGGGTCTTCCCACAGGTGGAGCTGAAGAGCCAAGAGGCCCAGAGTCTGCAGCAGCAGCGGGACCAGTACCTGAGCCACCTGCAGCAGTATGTGGTCAGTTATCAGCAGCACGTGGCCGCCTACCAGCAGCTGGCCTCCGAGAAAGAGGTGCTGCACAAACAGGTCCTGCTACAGACCGCTCATGGACCCCTCTGCAAGCTATAGGTCCAGAATCGGGAGGCAAGCCACCACTTGCCCTCACTCCCTGGGTCTTCCCACAGGTGGAGCTGAAGAGCCAAGAGGCCCAGAGTCTGCAGCAGCAGCGGGACCAGTACCTGAGCCACCTGCAGCAGTATGTGGTCAGTTATCAGCAGCACGTGGCCGCCTACCAGCAGCTGGCCTCCGAGAAAGAGGTGCTGCACAAACAGGTCCTGCTACAGACCGAGCTCATGGACCAGCTACAGCATGAGGAAGTTCAGGTCAAGATGGAGGCCGACATGGCCCGCCAAGAGTTGCAGGAGACCCAGGTGAGGGATGTGAGTGCCGGGCTCCTGAGCAGCAAGGTCTGCAACATATGTCCCTTCTCACTCTTTTTCCTGGCCCCTTAGGAGCGCTTGGAAGCTGCCAACCAGCAGAATCACAATCTACAGGCCCAGCTGAGCCTCATGGCTCTGCCTGGGGAAGGTAATTGGGACTCTCCAGAGGGAGAAGATGGAGCCCAAAGATGAGGGAGACTTAGCAGCATAGAACTGAGTTAGAAGGGACCTTTAGGAGACGGTGAATCCTTTTCCCCTGGATACGGGCTGGCCCAGGGTTGCATGGTGAGGTGGGGCAGAGCTGGGCCCCGAGCTTTCTTCCTGGGCCACTCCACCTCCTTGCGGGGTTGTCTGAGGACTCTCCGGCTGTCCCCAACAGGAGACGGAGTGGACATTGAGGAGGAGGACAAAGAGGCTCCCCGGCCAAAGCTGAGCATGCCGGAGGACCTAGAGAGCCCAGAGGCCATGGTGAGCTGACCTCCCCGCCCCTTCCCCGTCCCACCTTCCCGCCTCCCTCTGAGGTTCCTTCCAGACACCCTTCTTACCCTTGGCTTCCACCCTGTGACTTCTCTTGGTCCCCAAACTCCCCTGGGAGCCGATGGTCAGACACCATGTCATCCTCGAACCACAGGTGTGCCCATGGAGGCCCTGAGAAGGCGGGGGTCCTCTCTGCCTCAAGCCCTTCCCGCTTGTCCTGAGCACGTCCCCACAAAAGCACACACGCTCCTCTTGCTCTCAGGTGGCATTTTTTAACTCGGCCTTAGCCAGTGCTGATGAAGAGCAGGCACGGCTGCGTGGGCAGCTCAAGGAGCAGAAGCTGCACTGCCGGCGCCTGGCTCAGCTGGCAGCCCCGTCCCAGCACCCGCTGGAGGGGGAGGCCCCAGCCCCCCGCACTGGGGGAAACGGTGTGCCCGCAGAGAGGCACCAGGCCCTCCAGGTGGCCATGGACAAGCTGCAGGTGAGCGAGTCTCCCCCAGCAGTGGACCAGGGAGGACTGGGCTGGGTGGGACTGGACAGGGGGCTGCTGAGCCCCGACCCCTCCTCTCGGCTGCAGGGCCGCTTTACAGAGCTCATGCAGGAGAAAGTGGACTTGAAGGACCGTGTAGAGGAGCTGGAGCATCGCTGCATCCAGCTGTCTGGAGAGACGGACACTATTGGTGAGCGAGGCGGCCGGGACTGGGATGGAGGGCGCCCTGGTGGATGGGGAGCCCCAGCAGCTGAGCCCTGTCCGCCTGCCCGCCCCGCCCCTCCCGCAGGAGAGTACATCGCCCTGTACCAGAGCCAGAGGGCTGTGCTGAAGGAGCGGCACCGGGAGAAGGAGGAGTACATCAGCCGGCTGGCTCAGGACAAGGAGGAAATGAAGGTAGAGGCCCTGACCATCTCTGCAGGCGGACAAGGGGGCAGGGGTCGGGTGCTGAGCACCTCTCTCTCCAGGTGAAGCTCCTGGAGCTGCAGGAGCTGGTGTTACGCCTGGTGGGCGAGCGGAATGAATGGTATGGCAAGTTCTTGGCGGCTGCCCAGAACCCTGCTGGTGAGCCCAGTGCAGTGGCCCCGGCCCCCCAGGAGAATGTTGCTGCTGACAGCCAGGGTGGTGAGTAGAGCCCCCAGGGTGGGGGGGCAGGCGGGCAGGGGAGGGCTCGCGCATTGCTCAGAGCCCTGCCTTCCTCTCTCCAAAGATCTCCATGAAGTGAGCCTTGCTGACAATGTGGAGCCTACTCAGGGAGAGGCCCTGCCGGGCCTGGCTACTCCCCCTGAGAACCCCACCGCACAGCAGATTATGCAGCTGCTGCGAGAGATCCAGAACCCCCAGGAGCGCCCAGGCTTGGGCAGCAACCCCTGCATCCCCTTCTTCTACCGGGCTGATGACAATGACGAGGTGAAGATCATGGTCATCTAACGCCTGACACTAAAAGACAAAGCTTGGAGAAGTGGGGCTGGGGCTCTGTCCCCTGCTCTCTGTCCCTTTTCCTCCTTTCCTGGCACCCTTTCCAGGTCAACCCTTCCAGGTCACCCTTTTATCCCTAGACTAGCAAGATAGGGCCCCCGAAAAAGGGGTATGATGACCCCCCTGCCTACTTGGGGGAGAAACAGGTATAGGCCCCTTGGCCCCTTGGCCAAGGCTGTCTTAATCTCTGGGCTGCTACTAGTTCCAGAAAAACAAAGAGCCAGAAGTGCAGTAAAGGTAGTTTATTTTAAGAGGCTACCTCTCTCGGGGAGCAGGGGCTCCCTGGTGGCCTCCTTACCCCTGCCAAGCGGTCCTTCATTTAGAGGGGCTCATGCATCCTCTGCTCAGAGGCACTTTGGGGCACAAGTGCCCCCCTTGTCCAGGTATACAACTGGGCAGCACTCTCACAGGCCTTGGGACAGTTGGGGCTAACCAAGGCCAGCACAGGCGTAAGCTCCCTCTCCAGTGTACATACTATATCTATGTAACATTTTGTATATTCCAGGGGTAGGGCAGCCCCCTGTATCATAGCAGAGGTCGGAGCTGGCAGATGGGGAGCAGGTTCTATTAAATATTTGGGGTTGGGGGAACTTATTTATTGATAGCATAGGACAGAGGAAGGAGGCAGGGATAGGGTGGTGCCCAGGTGATTCGACTCCTGTTTGTTTTACTTTTTATTTCAGAATAAATGAATTTAGCCATACTGCTTGGCCTTGTGTGGTCCTGTTTCAGGTCGCTGGGTCCTGGGTTCCGTGCCAAGGGCACTGAACGGGGAGCGGGTCCTGCCAGCAGAGGGCGTCTCAGTGCACCCAGTGGGGTTAGAGATCTGGGCCTGTCACCTGCATGCTGCTTGGTGAAGCCTGGGGGATCCTGAGGGGATTACCAGGGGGCTATAAAGGACAGGCCTGCCCTAATGGCCGACAGACTCAGAAGCCTGACGTAATCCTGGAGAGGGAAAGCAGGGTGCCAGCACCCAAGAGAGCTGACTTCCAGGCCAAGGGGTTTCCATGTCCCTGCCCTGGTGGCCTGTTTGTCCCGTCCCTCCACAGTGCCTGCCCATGCCCCGCATCCTCCCCGCTGGTTGAGTTGGTGGCCCTGTGCCCTAGGGGTCAGGGCAGGGTTCACAGGACAAGGACCTGCTACTCTCCAGGTGCCTTCCCAGTAGGCCTTGGAGAGGACGGGGGCTTGTTTCATACTCCCGACAGCACCCTAGCAATGGCCGGGTGCTGCCCTACCCCTGCACCCCAATGTTCAAAACTTCACCTCTCCCTGGGTGCCACAGAGAACACAAGGCAGCAGAAGACACACTGTTTCCCATCGTCCAGAAATGGGTTTTATTCTCAGCCAAGAGACAGCAAGACTGGTCACAGCGAGAGCCACACAGCTGCCGGTACAGCACCCCCGCGCTTAGCGGGGGAGGGACAGGAAGGTGGCAGAGTGGGGCTGGCTGTCCACGGGCTGGGCATGACAGGGAGGCTCACTGGAGGTGGCACGCTTTGGAGGGGGATGTCAGGGTGACAGTGTTCCCTTGTAGTTGGGCCACAAGACTCCTCAAGGACGGCACGGTGATTCCCAGCGCTAGAGGCGAGGCTATGGCGGCCATGTGTATGTGTGTGAATATATATATATATATGAGTATTTATAGATATTTATAGAACGGAGCAGGAGCAATACCACAGAGGGGCACAAGTTTCACCAACGTCACGCTGGGTGTGTCAGCTCACCACTACAAAAGACTAAGTCACAGATGAAGAGGGAGGCTTTGGGGCTGGGGAGCCACTGTCAAGTCACAGAACAGCCGTCCAGGCAGGCTTGGAAAGGGAGCTCTCCGAGGAATAGAAGGGATCTGGTTAGAGGTCGAAGGGGGGCCTGGGGCTCTCAGGACGGGATGGACTTGCCTGACCCGATCGGCTGGCAGTTGGAGAGAAAGCAAAGAGAACAGGGGAGAGAAGGAGGGAGAGAGCTGGTAAGGCAAGGGCAGCCAAGCCCGGCAGGGGTGGGCGGGGAGGGCAGGGGGAGAAGACACAAGTGAGGGTGTGGGCAAGGGTTCCGGAGTAGACAGAGACGGGAAAGGGAAGGTGGACAGGAGGAGCTGGAGATGGGCAGGGGCCAGAGCTTCACGGGGGTCTGGGGTGGGGTCTGGGCTGGAGGCTGAGGCAGCCTTCCCCCTGCCACGCACGCTGGTCTCTCACACACCACCAGGCAGTGCACCCACAGTTCCAGACATATGCTCAGCCCCCTCTGTTCCCTGTTCTCTGACCCCCTGTTTTTCATCCCACTGGCCCAGGGCCACCACTCGCCTCAGGGAGTATGGGGCTGTGAGCCCCATGCCACGGCCACCAGGCCTGTTGGAAAGACAGGAGAAAGAACACTGTTCGAATCGGGAGAACAAAGCTAAAAGGATGGCTGGAGGGAGCCCTGGAGGCCCCTCTGGGTGGACAGAAGGCCCAGGAGCCCTCTGGGGGGACCCTGGGGAGGCAGGGAGGGCAGGTAGCTGGATGCCAGTGGCCAGAGGTTTATAAGTCTAAGAGGGGAGCCTCAGCTGGTCGGGGGACCGCAGGTCGCGTAGGTGAGGCTGGGCCCTTCCTGCTGGGGAAAAGCAGAAGAGCAAGAGTCAGCGGCAAGGGCAAAGTGGCAGGTGTGTCCCCTGGGTGAGTTCTGCGGCATAGCTGGGGTAGAACTCAGACACGCTGACTTGTCCAGGTCAGCAGACACTGTCATCCCCTTGGCTGAAAAGTGTAGGTCGCCCCTAGGAGCAACAGGCCCAGGTTCATGAGCCCATGGGCTGGCTGTGGTGCTTTTCCTGGGACCAAAGATGCTGCCTTCGGTCGTGCACTAGCAGGTATGATAACACCGAGGAGGTAGGGGAGGGGCTGTGGGGCCTGCCTTGCCTGTGAGGTGTGCTGTGGGCTGATGGTGTGGATAGGGCCTTCGGGCTTTCAGACATTATCAAACAACCAGAGCCTTCGCCCCAGATCGCTGCTCAGTTGCTGGCACGATAGAGGTGGGACTCTGACCTCCTCTGCCCTATCGTGGATTCGGTCCCCAAAGAGCCCCAGCAGCAGGGCTCAGATTGGGGAATGAGTATGGCACCCCCAGGGTGAAGTTCCAAGGCCTCTGGCTGCCTGAGTCCCGCCCCACACACAACCCCCTCCAAGGCTCCCTGCCCCTGCACCATAAACCACGACCTCTCTGCCCTCTGACAGCTCCGGAGAGCACCTATGTGTCTGCCAGCTTGGGTGCGGAGCCTGTCCCAAGAGCTCCCCAGGCTCAGCCATGGAGGTCTTGAGCAGTGGCACTGAGTCCCGAGGCTTGCTGAGAAGGGAGGTGAGAGAGCCAGCTGGCAGTGAGGACAGAAGGAAGAAAGAATAAGTCTGGAGTTGCAGAAGGGAGAGGAGGGGAGCCTGGCTCTGAGGTCCCGGGTGTACCACCCAATGTGGAGCTGGTGCAGCAGGGGACAGACACACCGTTCATGCAGCAGGCCGAGAGGCATGTACCTACCGTGGCTGACACTCCTCAGGGGTCACTGATAGTGATTCTGAAAGACAGCACGAAATCAACATGGCAGTTCACACGCACGGATGGGGCAGGCCTGGGGGTGGGGGACACGCACACGCACACGCCCGGGCGTGCACACACATGCTGTGAGGCCCCAAGGCCCCGCATGCACACACTGACACACATGCCCACAAACAACACGCATACACCTCCCCCACCTCCCACTGCCCAGTACCCCCACTGGCCGGCACGTGCAGCACGGGTCTGGGGCATGCAGCCACTTGGCACACTGAAGCACACGCGTGGGCCGAGTTACAACACAGAAGCTCGCCCGCATACAGGAGGCATTTGCACCAGCTCCCTGCACACTCGTGTCTGGTGTGCTCAGAGGGCCACCTGCAATGCTCCAGAAGGGACAGGTTTTGCTTTCTTAAGGTCCAGCTGTCATTTCTCTGTCCAAGAGCCTTCCGTGGCTCCCTACTGCCCACAGTATTGAGTCCCGACAAGTCAAACTCTTCTGCGGCTCTGGAAGGTTTTCCAGCCTGCCCCACCTTACCCGTGGCAACCTTTGCTTATTCTTCCTCATTCTATCTGCACTCTGCTCCGGCCAGTGGCTCTCCTCAATGCAGCCCACACCAAACCTGTGCCTACACTGCCACTCCCTACCCAAATGCCCCCCACCTCCTTACCACCTGAGTCTTAATCAGCCCTAAACATCAATGAAGTCAAGCTGCCTTGAAGCTCCCCCAGACAGCTCTCTTCCCCAAGGCAGGGCCATGATTTGATTCTCGTATGTTAGCAAGTATGGAGTTAGAGCAGGTACCAAATCTTACAGTTCCCACATGTCACACCTCAGCACAGACGTGGGCATGTCAAATGCCCTTAAGAATCTGAACTCACGTTGGAAGTTAGCCAAGTGCTCTTAGAGCCACCTTGCAGTTAATGCAGCATCCCTCTAGCCATTCTCTCCCTTGATCCCCACACCAACCCTGGGAGAAAGGCAGAATGTTAATTATCATTTGATAGAAGGGAAACTGAGGCTCTGGAAGGAAAAGTGACTCGCCTAAAGGCCCAGGTGAACCAGAACCTCCAGACTCCAGTCCAGTGATCCTGACCAATACCAGGCACCTGCTTTACTCCATCTACTTTGGTCATCAGTCACCATAGAGCAAGCCCCATCTCTGCTTCATTTTGGGTCCATGGAAGCCAGACCCATGGCCCGACCCTCCAGCCACCTGGAACATAAATGAATGCTATTGGTCTGAAGTGTCCTTCCTCAGAAAAGAGGGAAACAGGGCAGACTGAATTAAATACCAGAGTGAGCTTCCTCGAAAGAGGGTCGTGGATCAAGAAGGCCAAGCCAAGGGACGAGGTAGAATCCTTTTCCCTGGAAACCTCTGGGAAAGGGGCAGCCTTCACCCACGCCTGCCCCACACCCACCATGTTGGTCTAGGCCAGGCAGGGCCAGAGGCAGGGAGAAGGAAGAAAGCCATCAGGTTGTCCCATGGCTCCCATACCCCCTTCCCAGCTGCTCCATGTCTGACCCTATTGCCTGGGTGCCATTCTTACACTCTCACACCTGTGTGCACGCCCACACACACATCACACACACCTTGTTGATCACACAGTCACAGCCCGGCCTCTGTTTCCGTGGGCCAGAGGTGGGACACCCTCCTGGGACTGCTCAAAGGAGTCAGAACTGGGAAGTGGAGACATCTGGGTAGCCCTGAGTGTAAGCGAACAAAATCTACACTTCAGGAGAGGATCTGGGTTCAGATCCTTAGACTTAAAGTCGGCTCACTAGGGGCTGGGAGAGAGAAGTAGAGGATGAACGGAGAACGGAGAACGGAGGAGAGCGAGAAAGGGAGAAAGGAGGAGGAATACAATGTGTGGGAGACAGAGTGGAAAAAGAAGGAAGCGCCATGCAAATGCTGGAAAGAAGGGGGCAGGTGGGATGAGTCCCACAGCCCCCTCCCCAGAAACGACCACCTCCGGGACTCAGCGCCTGGGGGGCAGGCTCCGCCAGCCCTCGGCCACACCTCCCGTGGCTCTGGCACCCACCAGTGCCTTGGATGGAGAGGGCCGGTTCTGAAGGCCAGGGCCAATGCTCCAGAATCCGGACCCATCTCCCTCCCGGGCCACGCCCACCCGGCGGTCTCTGCCGCCGTCGCTATCAGCCCTTACTCACCTGGGGACCCCGGGCGGGGCGCGGTTGGGGCGCGAGGGCACCTGGGGGGGAGGACCGAAGGGGTCAGGGGAAGCCCCCGGCCTGGAGGGCACGGGGGGCGCCCCCCCCAGGGCGGACCCAGCAGGCGGAGGCCCAGGAGCAGGGCCCCGCGACCCGGGCCGGGCTGGGGGCACGGCGGGGGCTCTGCGCTGCGGCGTGGGGCTGGACGTGGGTGACCTGCGGGCGACATCGAGCGGAGGACAAGGAGGGGAGAAAGATGAGCGGTTCCGCCCCACCCTGAGGCCCCGCCCCGAGGCCAGTGCGGCCACGCCCATGCGCGCAAGCCCCGCTTCGCCCTAGGTAACGCCGGAGCTTAAGCCCCGCCCCCAGTATCTCCAATGTTCCGGCTCCACCCCGCCCCGCAGCCAGCGCTCCACGGCAAGCCCCGCCCCGCGACAAGCCCCGCCCCTCTCTAAGCTCCGCCCCTCGCTCCAAGTGGGAGCCGCCCCGGTGACGCGGGCGCGCCACTGCCCGGTCCCGGCCCTCCTCCCGCGGGCCCCGGGTTGGGGGGCTTTGGGGCCGTGGGGGCCAGCCCTGATACCTGCGTCCAGCCGGTACGCTCTGCACCTGCAGCCAGGAGTCGTCCACGGGCGGGGGCATGGGCGTGCTGACGGTGGTCGTGTTGATGTCGCCGATGATGCTGAGCGCCTCCTTCAGTGCGTGGTACATGCGCAGCATCTCGTCACGTCGCTGTGCCTGCTCAGCCGACTCCTCCATCAGTGTGTTCTGGTCCCCGCACGAGTAGAGGTTGGCCAGCAGCTCCGAGAAGATGAATTCCTTGGTCTGCATGCAGGCGGGCAAAGAGAGGAGGGGGTTGGGTGGGACCTGACACTTCTCTGCCCGCCCTGCCGTTTCCTGCAAGAATTGTGAGCTGGCCTGGAAGATTCACAAGAGGCTCCACCTAATCTCGGAGATCTCCCCTGCTTCAGCCTCTACCCAACCCCCGACCCTTGTTCTTTTCCGAGATGTTCCAGAGGAAAAGTGACCCGTTTAAGGCCACAGGTCTGGAAGGACACTCAGGGTCTATCATATAACTAGGACGCATCTTTATTCAGTTTTTTTCAGCCTCAGTTTCCTCATCTGTAAAATGTGATAGTTACACCCTTCTCAAGGACTTGCATGCTCCACTGGACCAAAATAAGGAAGATGACAGTTTAAATTTTTCTGAGCCCTCCTGTAACAGGTGTAAATGTGTCTGGATTGGGGGAGATATGAGTCTCTATTGCATAGGGGGTGTGTTAACGTTTTCACTGAACTCTCTTGGTGCTACTTGGCCTAGGCTCTTGGTCATTCGCGGAGAGATGCTGAGGTTTTTTCTGCCATAGGCCTGTGTCTTACTTATTTGTTATTCATATCTATGTTGAGCCCCTCCTACATGCTAGGCCCTGTGTTGCTATGCACTTTTATTCATTTAATTCTCAACTCTATTATCCATATTTTACAAATAAGGAAACAGGCTCAGAGAGGGTAGTTCATTTGCTCAAAATCATACCGGGAATCTGTGGCAAAGCCAGGATTCCATCATAGTTCTAATCCTCCAGGGACCATGTTTTTGCACCTAGCCACAGAGGGTAGTAGTTATGTGGAATATGTATTTCAAAACATGCCCTGGGAGTTCTCAAAAGTCTCAGATTCCTAGCGCCTTCTAGAAAACATTTAAGCATGTTGGAAACAACTTGGGTAAGTGAATCTACAAAATAAATAGTATATGAAACTCACATTATATTTCTATTGTGTGGACCCATGCCTCTCTCCCTTGACCTGGTCCCATGGAGCTGGCTCGTGCTTCCCCCAAGCTAACCTGGCCACCCACCTCCCTGGTCCCACAAGAGCATTGTCCCCACGTGGCAGAGCACCTACATTGTTGATCATGAGGTGCATGATGGTCTTAGGCATGAGGTCCCGCACGGTCTTGTTGACGATGGCCATGTACGAGTCCACCAGGTTCCGGATGGTCTCCACCTGCCTTTCCAGCTGTGGGTCCATGGAGTGCATGAAGCTGTCTGAGCCATTCTCCTCGGTCTCACTGGCCTGCCATCAAGATCAGAGGGCATCAGGGTGGCTGGTCCCTGGAAGCCAGGTTCCAGTGATTCTCCGGGATCTCAGCCTCTCCCCTCCAAATGTGCTTGGAACACTGAGGCCCAGAGAGGAGCAACTGGCCTGAACGCACAGACAGTGCTGCCCCAGACGCTATGAGTCTCTGGGCTCTGCTTGCCCCTGTGCCTCTCAGGACCCCAGACTCTCGTTCAACCTCATCTCAGCTCTGACGCTAGTGCCTAGAATTTGCCCCAGCTTCCCAGCCCATAAACTAGGAAAGCACATCTCCAGGGTTTCTTCCTGATTCAGAGGACCTGGCCAGCGGGGGTGCCAGACTGGAGATGCCTGGCAGAAAGCGAGGGAGGGGCACACTTACTTTCTCCTTGTCCTGGGAAGCCCACATCAAAGCCATAGAGGTCACCACACCAGCATTGCCACCACCGCCGCCACCAACGAGCACAGCAGAAGCAGACACACAGGAAAAAGGGAGGGATTAAGTGAACCTAGGGCATGGCACCCCAAGTCTAAGGCACTTCTAGATGTTGTCACAGTGAAAGAGGAGAGAAAAAAGAAGGCAGCCACAAGAAACCACCATCGTATGAAGGGGGCGCGGGACATGCCATCTGTGGCGGAGAAGGGAACCCATAAAACTGCCATTGGAGAAGGATGGGAGGAAGGCTTAACCCCATGGCAGGGAGGGTGAGGGCCCTGCTATTTCTGAACCCAGTGAGGGTTCAACAAACATGGGATGAGTTGGCATCACAGAGGATGGTGCCCTGGGCCCCCTATTGTAAGCAGGTTGTTGCCCCCCCCGTCCTGCCACTCACCCCAACACGTTCGGGGTACACGCCAGCCCTCAAGAAGGAGGCCTTCCAGCTATCCACCTCCTCCTGTGTCTCACAGGCCAATTCCAGCTGCCGATAATCCTTGTAGACATTTCTGCAAGATGGGGCAGGTGGTGAGGGGAGATGGGGTGAAGCTCATTCGCCTTGGTGGTCAAGGGCATGCATGGACTGGGGTCACAATGCCTGGGTCCAGTCCTGGCTTTCTCGTTTCCCAGCTGGGGGACCCTGGGGAAGTCCTATCCTCTCTCCAAGCCTCAGTTTCTCATCTGGAAGATGGCTTGACAATAACGATTTCTTCCTTCTAGGGTCATTGTGAGAATTCAGTAGTTTGAAATACTCTAGTAGCAAGGGACTAAGCCTTCAATAAAGGGGCATCTGTGACAGTGCAGCTCCTGGCTTGCGCCTCAGCCCACCCTGGCTCCCTCCCTGGCTCTCTCGGGGTTCCTCTGATGGCACTTGTACTAAACCCTCATCTCTGAGTAGGAGAAAGCCCATTAGTCGGCCCAGGGTTGGGAGGGGAGAGGCTCGGTACTGCTGCTGGTCCCCCTGGGCACTGAGCAACATGAGAAGGGGACCAAGCCTGCCTGAGGCTCTTCTTTGTCCCCAGTGCCTGGCAGAGTGTCTTACACAGAGCAATCACTCACCAAATGACTGTGAGTATAGGATAGGAGGGGAGGAGGGAGGGAGGAAAGGAGAAGGAACAGAGAGATGGAGGGAGGGCACGCGGGAAGGAGATCTTGACTATTTGTCAAATGAGTGACTTGCTGTGGGGCTTGGGGCAGGTGTCTCTCCTTTCTGGATCTGTGTACCCTGTTTCTCCTCAGTGGGAGTAGTTTGAGGCTTGCAGGGTCTGGGGCCTACAGCTCTGGCAGGGGGCAGACAGGTACCTCTGCTCCGTGTTGAACAGGGCAAAGATGTGCTTGCTTGACATGAAGCCCTTTTCCACGTCCCTCAGCTTCAGGTTGTCCACGGACAGCATGTATTTCTTCTCTTTCTCCTGTGGGTAGAGCCATGGATGAGGTTGGCACTGCTCTCTGCCACACCTCACTCCCTCAGAATGCTCCATGCTACGGGGTAGCTGGGGCTGTGGCCCCTCAGAGTGGCCCCAGGCTTCTGGGTACCTGTCAGTCACACTGTACAGGAGCTGCCTGACGAAAGCCTGGCCATGGAGCCCTGGGCCTGCTGGGGACCCCTGGCTCCCAGTGGCATTCAAGCCTTTCCCACCACTTCTGCCTACCCGCCAGTGCCCACAAGCCCAGGGTGGTGAGGCCGAAGGTTGCTCTCCCATCCTGCCTCAAGAAAGCCCGGGATGCAAGCCAGGCCAGCCCCAGCCAGGGACCCCTCACTGGAGCCTCCCTCGCCCCCGGCCTGGCTGCAGGGCCTGCTTTGGATAAGGCTCTGACTTCATTTCCTGACTGTAGAGACAGGAAGGGGGGCCACCAGCCCCACGGCTTCGAAGGGCTGGCTCAGCCCACTCCCCCCAGACACCCATGTGTTAGCAATCAGCCACACGGCACAGGCCTGGAGATGGTGAGTCTCTGTGTGCAAACGTGTATGGTTGTGTGTGTGTGTGTGTGTGCAAACACATACAAGCCCGAGCACACATGCTATCACCATTATGTGTGTGCGCCCATGAGTCTGTGTTGCATATGTGTGTGCATGTGTGTCTGAGGAGGTGCCCAGCACGGCTATGTGTCTGCGTGAGCATGTCTTTGTGTCCACGAGGTTGTGTGCACATTTTTGTAGATGAGTGTGGCAACTGTGTGTGTGTGCAAACACATACAAGCCCGAGCACACATCCTATCACCATTATGTGTGTGCGCCCATGAGTCTATGTTGCATAGATAGATATGTGTGTGTGCATGTGTGTCTGAGGAGGTGCCCAGCACGGCTATGTGTCTGCGTGAGCATGTCTTTGTGTCCACGAGGTTGTGTGCACATTTTTGTAGATGAGTGTGGCAACTGTGAATGTCTATGTGTTTGCACGAATGTGCCTGTTGGACACGTACAATGAGTTCACATATTTCCGTGCACATAGTTTGTGTCACGGGCTGCATACGTTTGGTTTCTCTAGTGGTCTGGGAGGAGTTGCGTGTATCTGTGGATGGGCATGTGGGTGCCAGGCCTCTGTGCACGCGTGTATGCCTGGTGCTGGCCGACATGTCTGCGGGCTGCTGTGTCAAGGGGAGGGGCCCGGGGATCTCGGGAGGAGGGACCCCAGGATGGGGCTCTGGGAGGAAAGGAGAGGTTTCTGTTGCCTTTACCCCATTTGCCCACCCAGCACCACAAGATCCATGCCAGTGTGGGGGGAGGGGTGGTCTCTGTGGATCTCTGGGACCCTGGGCTTGGACAGAGGCCTCACCCTGGATCTCAGGTGGGGGCCTGGGTTTAGGGGGACCTTGCTCTCCCACCCTTGCATCATCCTGCCCACCTCCCTCTGCCTCCCGCGCCCGCCTGGCCCATCCAGCCACATAAAGCTCTCTTTATGCCAGGCGGGCGGCCGGGAGCCCCGGAGGGTGGCTGGGGGAGGAGAGAAGGAAGTTGCACACACGGCCAGGGAACATCTGGAAGCATTCGAGGGAGGCCCCTCCAACACCGCCCGGCGTTCTGGGGTTGGACACTAGGCAGGAGTGGCCTCCTCCCCCCACCCCTCCTTTCCGGCTGGCCGGCCCCCTCCCCAGGCCCCTCCTTCCCGGCCACAGCTCCCTCTCACCCCTGCCACGTCAAAGGAGACAGAAGGGGAGCCGGGAGCAGAGAGGGGACCTGGAGCTGGCTGGGATGGGGATAGGGACCTTGGATCTCCAGGGATGGGGCTGAGGCTCCCCCGCGACGACCAACACTGCCGCCCGGACAGACCAGAGGACACGTCCACTCCGTCTACCCAGTGTTTAGACTATCTGTTCAGGACTCCCAAATTGTACAGTAGTCTGCACATTGGTTAGGCTGGCTGGGTTAGATCCTCGGCGCCGCTGGAGAGCTCAACCGAATCCCACCACCCCAGAGCTGGAGCCTGGAGCCGGGGCAGGGTTGTGGGGGGCACGGGGGGGGCGGGTGCTGGGAGGAGGCACAGAGGGATGGGGTGCCATCCTGCTGTGGGATGGGGTGGGGGGTGCCGATGGGTGGCAAAGGAAGCCTGAGGAGATGGGGGGAGGTCAGTGAGGGCTGGGGATGAGGGTGGCTGCATGTCTGCCCAGAGGGTCACCCAAAGACCAGAATGCTGGCAGCTGGGGGGAGAAGGGGGACAGATCACCCTCCCCCCAGCTGGGACCACCTCCATGTCCCCAGATGTTCTAGTGCAAAAATCCACTCACACCAACACACACACACACACACACACACACATACACACACACACACACCACCTCGCCTTGACACGCATACCTCACAACTCAGGTACATACACCCCCACACTCACACTTTAAATCACACATCCATGCCCCAAACACACATGCACACTGCAAGCACACACACGTGCGCACACACACACACACACACACACACACCCTCCCAGTGGAACACCACCGTGCTCCCATCCTTACACCCCAAATACACACACATTCTCCAGCACTCCGCAGGCACACCCTCCTTTCCCAAGCCCACTCACCACACACACATACCTACACTCACACACCACGCACGGGCACACAAACCCAAGTGTCACACTTCAGGCGTAGACAGACTCACATGCAGACCCCCACATACCAAACTCACATGCAGACCCTCACATACCAAACACACCTAGGTACTTACTCTCCAAACACTCACCTACAAAACACTCCTCACAACAGCCATGAGCCTCGCCCCCACATTCACTCAGGGCCGGCTTCCGCCCACAACTAAACTCCGGTGTACACATAAAGCTCAAAAAACAAAAAAGACCACCCCCGCCCCCACTCACAGGCATGAGGACAGGGCCCCTCTCAGATCCATTCCCCTTTTCCCCCTAGTGTGGCCAGTCCCTGGCCCTCAGCCCCAGGGCACACTATAAGTTGTGGGTCTCACAGTCGGCACACCCCAGCCCATGGTGGGGGGTGTCTGGGGAGCTAGCCTGGGCGACAGAGCAGGAAACAACCCCCACAACCCGCCCACCGCGCCACCTCACACTCCATCCCTTCCAGGGGCCTCTGTGCTCAGGGAGAGGCCAGGGTTGGGGTAATGAGGTCCAGATGGCTTGGCGCCCCTGCCAGTGACGACAGAGGGCCCCGCCCAAGGTAGGGGTGCGGGGGGGCTGCTAGGGCAGTTTGGAGGGGGCAGAGATCAAGAGGGGGCTTGGAGACCCAAGTCGCTGGCCCCCATCTTGTGCCCCTTCCTTGTTGAGAGCACCCTTTCCTCCAACAGGCCCCCTTGGAAGAAAAGAGTCCCTTCCCCCATCCTGTGGCCAGCTGGAGTTTGTTACCACGAGCCCCCACCCCCGCCCCAGCCCTCCCTGCTCTCTCTGGTCACCTCTGGAATCCAGATGTGGAAGCCAAATAGATTCATTCTTAAAGGAGACCTACTGCAGGGGAGGGCAGTGGCAGGGATCTGTGTGTCCCAGTGGGTGGGGAGGGGTTCTGAATGACGCCTCTTCGAGGGCCTCATCGCTCCTGGCCTCTCAGCCCAGAGGCACTCTGGGCATCTCTCTTGGACTGCCAGGCTCTAGGGGACTGGGGTGCAGGGGTTAACAGGGTGTCTGGCAGCTGGACTTGTGTATGTCATAGGCCTATGGGGGACACAGAGGAGGTGCAGCACGCCCTGGGGTGGGAAAACAGGAAGGCCACAGGGCTGGCAGGGTGGGGGATGAGGGTGCCCAGTACCCCTGCCCACCCTCTCCAAAGCGCTCAGCCCCAATATCCCCAACCCGGCCAAGCCATCTCCGTCCAGCCTGGATGAGCCCCCAGGATTGCTCGCCCCTGATCCTTGCAGATCACTTCCAGACCAAAGGGTCTTTGATTGAACTTTAAAAAACCCCTCTTGGGTGGTCCAATCCACTCCAAGTCTGTGGTAGGGTCTGAGCCTGAATCTGGCAACAAGCCGAACCCCTTGATGACCAGTGGCCTCTTACTCACCTCATCGTCTTTGTACCAGGACAGATTCTCAGCGGTCAGCACGAACCAATACTCCTTGGAGCCCCCCTTCATGATGCCAATGTTGTTGATGGTCAGCCAGCCCTTCCGGATGACCTGGAGGGTGAGGGGGCAGGGGGTCAGTGGGCAGAGGCCGGGCTTCCCCTGTGCAGGATGGGGTAGGCAAAGAGAGGCACTCAAAAACCCACCCCTCCCCCAGCTCTTGGAGGCCTGGCCGGTCGGGGGGGGTGGGGGCCAGACCTGCCCTGGTGTGGACCACAAGTGAACAGAGTGGAAGACAGAGGAAGAGAGAGGTCAGCTCAGGATAAAGAGCCTTCTGACAGAGCCATTCTGAGGAGGGGACTGGTGGCCTTGGTAGGGGATGAGCTCCCCACCGCTAAAAGTGTACAAGCAGAGCTTAGGTGGCCAACTGGGCAAGATAACTCTAAGTGTCTTTTCAGCTTAAGATCCAATTCGTTCTAAGACTTGTTCCTGACTTCAGGGACTTCGCATATGCTGCCGTGGCCTCTGTCTAGAAAATATTTCTCCTGTTTGCCTGGCAAATCCTACTCACCCTCTGGGTATCAGCTCAGAAGACATATTCTCAGGCAGGCCCTCCCTGGCCCCCAGTGTTAAGTCAGGACTCGCATTATAATCTTTTATCATTCCCTTAAGTCCTCTTCTATAATAATTGGGATGTTGAATTGGGATGTATAATGATTGGGATGTTGAATCAGCGTGTGACGTATATGTGTGTGTGTGATTTTCTGTTGATGTCAGTCTCTCTTGCTAAATTGTGAACTCAACTCACTGCTGTATCCCAACACCTCGCAGAGTGCCCAGCAGGCAGTAAGTGATCAATAAATGTCTGTAGTATGAATACACGAATGCTACAACAGTAGGGTCCCAAGAGTCTGTGGTCCCAGCCCTAGACAGGTGGGGTGGTATGGTACGGGGACAGGGAGAAGGGGTTGAGCACAAATTGCTCAAGCCCCTTCTTCCTGGGGAAAGCTCAGAGTAGCAGGCAGAGGTCCCTTTTCACAGCAGGAGGCAGCGGTCCCCAGGACTGTCCTGAGCCATCGCCACAGACCAAGGCCTGTGGATTGTACTGCAAGGGCAGAGCCACTGCCCAGACCCTGGGGGCGGGCCAGTCTGAGAGGATAAAGGCTGCTTCTGCTTCCTCTTCTGGCCCTTACCGCCCTGGCTTCTCCTCTCGGCCTCCGGAGAAGACCCCAGGAGCCCGGGGCTGGTGGGAAAGCCCGGGGGGGCCAGATCTGCTGCTGAGGCCCTCGGAACACTTCTGAGTCCTCCTTAACCCTCTCTGGCTTCCCCCAAGAACCTTGAGGAGAATCCAAGTCAAACGACAGGTCAGTAGCTGAGCAGCCATTTATAGGACACAAGAGCTAGGTGCGCCATGATCTCTCTCCTACCCTATCTTCATCCAGTTAGGATCCCTTCAGTGCCTTGTCACTGTCTTTGGAGTGGAGTCCAGATGCCACATCCTGGCACTCTATAGCCCAGCATCAGACCAGTAGGCCTCAGAACCCTGCTCCCTGCCCTGCCCGGCCCTGCCCTGCCCTGCAGCCTTTGTCCTTCCTCGGCCACCCCCAGCCCTGCCCTCTCCTCTGCTCATCCAAACCCCCCTCCAGAGCCCCTGCACCAGGACTCCCTACTGCCCTGGCTCTCACCCTGCCTGGGCCCTGCCTTCAGGCCCAGGTCTCCAAGGGGCAGGGCCCGTCTGACTCTCGTCCAGGGGCTGGCACAGTGTAGGCACCAGCGAGTGTTCCCTGAATCAAACTACCCTGAGATAGTACATTAGATATTACGTTCTTAGTTCTCTCATCCTATTGAACACCTACTGTGTGCCAGACACTGGGCTGGGGGCTGAGGATTTCCTGATGAACAAGATAGACACAGCCCTTCCCCTCATGGGGTTTGGGAGGGAAATAGATATGAAGCCAGTAATCACACAAATGACAAGATTATTACAAAGAATCTCCAGCCTCTGGAAAAGCCCAGGACTCTACGGCTCATGCGTACAACTGGGGCAGAGAAGTGATGAGTCAGCAGAGATCTGAAGGATGGGACAGGTGAGGAGGATGTGTCTCTTGACATTTCATTTATCTCTTTACTCCACTTCCTGGGAGAGATGGCTAACTTAAAAACATGTTCCTCTCTCACCCATCCACCCACACATTCATCCATCTATCCACCCCTCCACTGAACAGATATTTGAGAAGCACCTACTCAGTGCCAGGCCCCTGCCAGGCATTTTCACCCGCCCCGGCCCATATGGTCTGCCTCTGCCTGAAGTAATGCTTAGCTCATGCGCACTGATAGACAGGTCGATGGGATTGTGTGTGTGGCTAGGCCTTGCTTCTGGCCTGAGAGCATGTGTGGACACCCTTGTGCTGGTGTGTGCAAGCAACTCAAGCAAAAGGGTGCCCTCTTGCCCATCCCCACTACAAATGGGCCCCTTCCTCCCCCTTACTACACAAGCCAAGAGCCCCGGTCCTGGTACTCACCAGAATCTCATCCTGCAAAGAGGTAACCATAGCAACCACGAGAAGCATCGGGAGAGAGGAGAGAGGGTTACTGAGGCAGAGTGGGAGACTTGTGGCTGGCAGCTGACAGGCTCTCTGGCCCCCATGGGACCCTTCCTCTCGGGGGAGGGGGCTCTCAGAGCTTGACGTCCATCCGGCACCCTTCATCCCTCGGGCTGGGGCACCGGGGCTCACTCACCTGGTTCCCTGAAGCCTTCTTCTTGCTCATCTGGTTGCTCCTCTGCTGAGCACTAATAAAGAAAGAGAGAAGAGTCTCAGAACCTCTCTCGAGAGGCCCAGCTCCATTACCACTGCGCAGTGGGTACCGAACCCAGAGGGTTAACCCAGAAGGCCTGGGGTCTGTCCGTCTGTCTGTCTGTCTGTCTGTCCGTCTGTCCGTCTGTCTATCTGTCTATCTGTCTTTCCCTCCCTCCCTCCTATGAGGTGTCACTCTCTCTGCCCAGGGACCACTCACTTGGCAAAGCCTATGAAGTCCTCGTGGTTGGTATTCATGTAAGCCAGCTCAATATCAATGAGAAGCATGACCTTCAAGGATGCACAGGTCAGGAGGCAAGTGGAAAAGATACCCCAAAGTTTTAATGCATGAAAAGCTGGGAGAAACATACTTGCAACACATATAAAATCCATATTAAATAAATAAATCCATAATCCATAATCAATGTATATGTGCATACATAATAGCATCCATAACAAATAAAGAGTTCCTACAAACCAATACGTGAAAGACCAGAAACAAATCAAAACAGTCAAAAAACATGAGTGGGTAATTCGTAGAAGAAATATATATAACCAACAAAGATATGTAAAAAATGTTCACCCTCATTAATAAAGAAATGTAAGTTAAAACCGTGAGACCCTTTTACCACCTATCAATTTAACAATAAATACTGGTAATGATCAGTGCAGGCATAATTGCGAAAAGATGAATTCTCTCACATGCTATTAGTGAAAGTGTAAATTAGTATCACCTTCTTGGAGGGCAATGTGGCAATATTTAACATTAAAATGCACATATTCACTTCTATCTCACAGGTAAACTCATCAAGTGAACAAAGATATATGTACCAGGGTGTTCAGTGTGGTGTGGTTTATACTAGAAATAAATTGAGAACAAGCCAATGGCCATCAGAAGGTGAAATAGATTACGGCACCCTCCGAACAATAAAGCTGTTCAAAGAATGAGGACAAGTTCTAGGTCTTGACATGGGAAGATCCTCACTGAAAATGATTTAAGAGTGAGGGGATTCAAAACTGAGTTGTGATGACGGTGACATCTCTGATGCACACGCAGGACGTGCTGCTCCCCGTGGGCCTGGGGACTGTCCTCACTGAGACTCAAGTGCCACAAAGAAGTGTTTCTGCCTCACGGTAGTGGGAAAGACACAGTGAGATGAAGCAGGTGCTCGACCGACGTTAGCTCCTACAATTATCTCTAGAGAAGAAAGGCATGACACACAGCAGGATTGTGGTTCTTTATGGTTACGATGGAATCTGGAATCTGTGGGCGCCTAGGAAAAATGCCTGGAAGGGGACACACCAAACTGTTAATAATGGTTATTTTGTGGGAGGGACTGGGGGTGGGGAAGAGTAAACGGAGGAACATTTGTAATTTCATCACTTCCATACTGATTGAATCTTTTATGGAATATTTATCACTGTTATAATCAAAAAGAGATCCATAAGGATTTAAAAACAACATCGACAACAAAAATGTGAGAGGTTGGGGACAGTGCCATGGTGGAAAGGCGACGGGTAAGGACAGAGGCTGGGAAATAGTAGTCAGAGGTGGTCATCGATGGAAGGGTGACCGAGATGGACTAGGAAAGAGGACTAGCCGGGGAGCTTTGTGAGGACCATGAGGAGGGCCCGCTCATCTCTGCTCCTCCCAGCTCAGAGACAGCATTCACTAATGTTTGTGACTCGATGAAGGAATGAATGATTATTTGACAAATGACTAAATAAAAGGAAGAGGGGTAGCTATGAGAGGTATAAGGTGACCCAGAAAAACAGCAAATAGACAGACAGAGAGAGGCCCAAAGAGAAATGACCAGAGGATAGACTGCCGAAAGTTGAGAATCAGATAGTGGGAATTTAAAATGGCGCGGCTGTTGTAGAAATCAGTAGGGTGGTTCCCCCTCCCCACTCCAAAAAAAAAAAAATTAAACATAAATTACCATATGATTCAACAATTCCTTTCTGGGCATATACCCGCAAGCATTGAAAGCAGGGTCTCAAAGAGATATTCCTACACCGATGTTTATAAAAGAATTATTCACAAGTGCCAAAAAGTGGAAAAACCCAAATGGATAAACAAATGCATATATACACAATGGAATGTTATCCAGCCTTAGAAAGGGAGGGAATTCTGACACACGCTTCGACATGGATGAACCGTAAAAACATTGTGCTCAGTGAAATAAGCCAGACACCAAAGGACAAATGTTGCATGCATCTCCTTATATGAGGTACCTAGAGCTGTCGAATTCATGGAAACAGAAAGTAGAATAGTGGATGCCAAGGGTAGGGGGAAGGGAAATGGGGAGTTAGTGTTTAGTGGGGACAGAGTTTCGCTTTGAGGGAGATGAAAAGGTTCTGGAGATGAATGGTGGTGACGGCTACACAACAGTGTGAACATTTTTACTACCACAAAACTGCACACTAAAAATGGTTAAAATAGTAACCTTCATGATATATATATATATAGAGAGAGAGAGAGAGATGTATGCGTGTGCAAATTTACACACACATACATTCTCTCACAATAAAAAGAAAGAGAGAAGGGCGGAGAGCTGGTGTGAGGTCGGAACGTAGGAAGGAGGCTGAGACAAAGCAGGAGCTGCGGGCTCACCTGCTCCTTGGTGCGACCCTCGCGCTCCCGGATGTGGGTGGTCACGATGCGCTCCATCTCCTCCCGCAGCCGTGGGTACTGCTGGAGCTGGGGGAGGGTGGGAGGGGAGAGAGCCACGTACACGGGGGGCATGGGCGGGGAGCACCCATACCCCACCAGAGTCCAGGGTGCAGGGGCGTGGGGTGGGAGTCACACACAATGCCTGAGAGCGGGGGCAGAGAGGCCCGGGGTCCCAGGAAGCTGACGGCACCAAGCCATGGCCACCCCTTTCCCCTAAGTATGGGTTCCAACTGGCAATTCACGGGTCTTCCTGGTTCTAGGCCCTCTTCACTGTACTACCTGGGCCACTTGGGGGACGAGTCGGGGGGGCGGTGGCGGAGAGCGGTGCTCACGGGCAGAAACGCCCCGGACTTAGCTAGCTCCTGGCCACCATCTCAGTGGTAGCCTTGGAAACAGACATAGGCCCCCGAGAACTTGGCTTGGGGTCCGTTAGCTCCAAGGCTTTCGCTGACCGTCAGGGCTCCCCCTTGCCTTCTCAAAGGCTTAGAGGGACAGTCAGGAGGAGAATCGGGCAAGGAATTCCTACCCAGGAAGAATCTGGGGAGGGCAGGGCCCAAGGTGCCAACTGGCCTCCTGAATCAGGCTGGGGACAGGCAATGCTCCTTGTCAGAGCTGGGAGGCAAGGGAAGACCAGCAGTCACACAAACGACAGGCGGCAGCCACAGGCACGGACATGCGCGGGTGCGGGGGGCATGCGGAGGGAGGGTGCCAGCAGCATGAGCAGTACCCCGCGGGGGCCTGGCTAGGCCCCTGGCCCTCTTGGTGGACTCCACCCCATCCTGCCTCCCTCTGCATGCTCCAGCTTGGCACCATCGTCCCCAGTCGTGTCTGTCTGGCCCTCGGCTGGCCAGCCAAGCTGTCAACCCCGCTCCTTTGGGGTTAGGAGCTCAGCACCATCCATTTCCCGCCAGTTTTTATCAACTGAGGCTGAAGGGGAAGTTGCTGTAAGCCCTTCCCCCTCTGCCTGTGAACTCTGTCCTCAGCTCAGCCCCGTCTCTGGACAAAGCCCAGGTTGACTCATTCTCCTTCAAGACACTGTTGGATGTCACCTCCATCCAAAAGCCTGCCCTGACCACCCCAAGAGCTGGGTTGGGGCCTCTCTGTGCCCCGCTGTCACCTTCCCCCATCAAACTGTATTGTAATTGCCCTGAAGGCAGGGGAAGGGCCAGGTGCACCAGCAGTGCTCAGAGAGGGCACGTTGAAGGAATGAGGGAATGAATGAAGGATGGATGTCTTTTCCCTCCTTGCCGCGGTGCGTGGACATGGGTTCCTCTGCCCTCTGGCGCATGAACCAGAAACTCCTTGGGGAGAGAGACTCGCTCAGCTGCTGATGGTGAGAGCCCACCCACAGGGACGTCTGGTCCTGCTGACCCCTCTCCCCACTCAGTGGCCACGTGAGGCACAGGAAGGGCGAAGCTAGAACCACTCTTTGTCCCTCTTCCCATGCTTGGATCAGCTCCCACAAGTGGAACCCCTATGTGGGAAGAGAGCTGGAGGTTAGCATGACTGGGTCACGGGGAGTGATTCTGAGGGCAAGATGGAGGCTAGGGAGATGGGGTGACAGAGGATGGAGAAGGAAGCAACGCCCAGGAGAGGCAGACGTGAGAGATGCCACATCCTCCCACCCCCACCCCCTACCCCACCGTCCCGTGGCTGTGCCAAGGGTGTGGCTGACATGGCCAAGCACAAGGGACCTGGTGGAGGGGCAGCCTGAGACCGAGGTCTTAACAAACAAACCGCCGAAGAGGCCCAGCGGACCCTGCTGCCCCATAAGGCTCAAGGGTGGTTCCCACTTCCTTCTCGAAGTCTCCAGTTTGGAGCGGAGATTCGAGACTGAGTCACCGCCATCAGAAGGCCTCCTTGGAGGTGGTCCCAAATGCTCTCTTCCAGGGTGGGGTTGCAGGGGCAGGGAGGGGAGAAGGTGGGCAAGGAAGGAGGAGGAGGGAGCAATTTGCCAAAGAGCATGACCAGTTCTCCCACTCACCGCCTGGATGTTACATTTGTCAAGTTTTCCATGTGTGTCACATGGCAGGGCAGCCTCAGCCCCTTTAAGAAGTTCTGTTCCCTTTGAGCATCTTTTTCCATTCTGGCTGCCTCTGAGCATTTCCAAGACTTTTAGCCAGTTTTGAAAATGGAACTTTTCTCTCTCAGTCCTTGGCTGGGCAGGGCAGTCAGCCTGGAGCCCTCCACTTAGTGGTCAGGGGCATAGGCCCTGGAGCCACATGGCTCTGGGTTCAAAGCCAGACTTGCCGACTGTCCTTAGAAAAGTGACTGGCCCTGTCTGAGCCTCAATTTCCCCATGTGTAAAATGTGGCAGTAATGGCACTTGCATCCTGAGGGCTGCCGAGAGGGTCGAGCCGTACATCGCATGCTTGACTCTAGATTTAAACTCTAGATTTCATCCAGAGACGAAAACTAATTCCAGCAGGGCTAGGAATAATTAAGAGTTGATTATTTTTCAAACCTCTGGCAGATGTGGCTTGCTAAGCTTAGAACACTTGAGAAGGAAAAAAAAAAGACCAAGGTGGGCGAATTTTGTCGTGTAAAGAAAAAATAATCATTATCCATTAAATAAAAGGCAAAGCTATTTAAAAAATTATTTAAAAGTTTTTAAAACTTTTTTGTTGATTTTTTTTTTTTGCTAGTAAAAATCATAGATCCACTGTAAGAAATTTGAAAATGATGAAAATTTGTGAAGTAGACATGGAAAAATTCCTATGCCCCTTGCCCTCTCTTAAAGTAATAGTTAGCAATTTGGTGAACATGCCTTGGAACTTTATCATTCATAGAGATTTTCCCCTCAAATATTATACATTCTTTTCTGAAACCTGTTTTTTTTTTCACAGTACCTTTGTGGAGGGTATAGGCATACGTTGTTTTATCTCACTTTATAGGTATTGCTTTTTTTTTTTTTTTTTACAAATTGAAGGTAAGACCCTCCACCAGCAAAAAGATTATGACTCGCTGAAGGCTTAGATGCCAGTTAGCATTTTTTAGCAAAAAGTATTTTAAAATTAAGGTATGTACATTGCTTTTTTAGATATAATGCTATTGCACACCGAAAAGACTACCGTACAGTGTAAATGTAACTTTCACATGCACTGGGAAACCAAATGAATCGTGTGACTTTATTGCAATATTTGCTTTATTGCGGTGGTCTGGAATCGAACCCTTAATATAGCCGAAGGATGCCTGTGCAACCTTCCATTGTCTGTATGATACTTTATATCATCAGTCCCTTCTTGACAGACATCCGGGTTTCCAAAATTTTACCATTTACAATAAGAATTATTGCTTTTCTTCTGGAATGCAATTTAGTAAAGTTTTCCACAGTTTTTAAATGTTACCAAAATTGTGAAAGCTCATGTTCATTGACCAGGCCATTCTATTATTTAGAAATCTGCCCTAAAGAAACGACAGGATAAGTTCCATAAATACGTCTCCAAGGATGCTCACTGAAGTACTGTTGTAACAGAAAAAAAAAAAAAGAAGAAGAAGGTTGGAACAATCTAAATGTCTGTCAATATGATATTGATTATATAAATGACATATGCCACATCTCTACAGGGGAATGTAATTTTCTTGGATCAGTGTGTGTAGTGTGATCCTATTAGGTTAAAACTGGCATATATTCATGATTAGGACGAGTGTGCCGTTCGCAGTCCTTCCCTCCGTGGTTGTGGGATTATAGGGACTCTTGCTTCCTCTGTGCTGTTTGAATATTCTCATAAGAGTCATGGATGAGCGAAACAAAATCGATACTGATAATTTTACTTTTTTAAAAAAGGAGCGTATGGCAGAAAATGTACAGAAATCGCAAGAGCGGCTCTCTGGAAAGGGAGGGCTGCCTGCTTTTTACTCTCTGGCGTTCTCCCAATGCTCTTTCACTGAGAACGTATAACTTTGATAACTGAAAACCAATATTTAAAAAAAATTTAATTAGATCTTGTCTTCTTTTGTAAAAGGATTCGATTATTTTTCAAAGGTTGCCAAAAGATCGTGTTGCTTAGTATTCGTGATGCGGTGGGACCACGACTTCGATGTCATGATAAACACCACGGAACAGGGGCGGTGGGGGTGGGGGGGTCACGCCCAGGTTTTTATCCTACCTGGAATAGGAGCTGAGTGGTTGCTGATTTGCTTAGTCCACCCCCATTGCACACAGAAGTGGCAAAAGGGAGACAGCATTGTGAAGGGGCTGCACGTGACCGTGTAGGGGCCACGGAAACTGTGGTACTGATTTGAAGCGTGAAGTGAAGGCAGATGTGCCGCCATCTTCCCAGTGGAGGCAGTTTTTTTTTCAAATACAAGCAAGGCCGGGCCCTCTCCCAGAGGTTCTGGTCCAGCCTGCTTCTGTACGTGTGGGTGTTTAAATTCTGAGGGGGGCATTTAAATTCTGGAAAGGCTCCCCCAGGCAACTGATGCTCATGCACGTCTCTGAGAAGAACTGCTTTAGACAATCTGGCTAAAAATCCTCAAAATGCTCAAAAGCAGACAAAGAAGAAAAAGGCATCTAAAAGGTCACAGAAAACTCAAAAGAGGCTGACCCTGCCAAATGCGTATGGATTACTGAAAAGTGAGTAATCCAATATGCTTTTAGGCAAATTGGTTTTGAGGGACTGGGATAGCTCCCCCACCCCAGTAGGCTCTGATCCCACATCTCTTCCTTCCACCTCCCGAATGTGAATCTCACTCTCCTTTTCTTTTCTGAGGTTCAGTTTTCTCATCCGTAAAATGGGGATACTACTAGTATTTCTTAGGGATTAGGTCAGATAACAAGGGTAAGCACATAGTAGGTGCTCAATAAACTATCTCCTTATCGTCATCATGTCATTGTCATTCTTAGTGGTGGAAGGGGCTACTGAGGATGCCTGGGTTGGAGCTAAGTCGTCTGGCAGAGACGGGTGCCCGAAAGGGTTGTGAGTATAAGTAGACCCCGGGTCACAAGCCGGCATGAAACCTCAGGGCCAGGAATCACCTGGCCGGCATGGGCATCCATGTGGGTGGCTAAGAGGCTGCCAGGCCTGCTCAGAAGATGGTTCTGCCCACGGGAGGCCGTGGCCGTGAGGAGGGGATGGCCAGGCCCAGCCCCGCCCAGGCAGCCGCCGTACCTTTTCGCTACACTTTCTGATGGTGGTCGTGAGCTCACTGACTACCATATCCACACACTTGATACTGGGCTCTTTGAGCTTCTGCACCTGCTTTTTCACTGTGGCTTCAAAAGCGAGGTCAGGTGTGAAGAGACCTGTCCTGCACCCGGGAAGGAGGAGGGGTCAGGAGGAGGAGCAGCCACAGGTCGGCGGGTGGGTAGGAAGGAGGAAGGGAATATAAGCCAAGCAGGGCCAGGGTCGGGGGTGGAGGATGGCACAGGCATGGGGAAGAGAGAGAGACACCGACACAGAGAAAGAGAGAGAACAGAAGACAATGTGAGCGTGGGACCCGGCCCTCCCTACCGCCACCCGGGGCTGGCACTTCCCGGGTGCTGCCAAGCATCCCCCCGGGCTCTGTGAGTATGGGGGTGGGCTTCTGAAGGACCAAGCCCCTGCTCCGTACCAGGTCCCTCGCTGAGTTCAGAGCCTCTTCCCAGGGCTTGGCCCCTCGCTCCTCAGCTACACTGAGCCTGCCTTCTCTTTCTTTTCCGATGCCATCTGTCACAGCGTTGGGTCCTCCTATGGGGGCTGACCCAGGCCAGAACGCCACCCGCCTATTCTGTTCAATTCTAGTTTTCCCAACACCTCTTGAATTCGTTTGACTCTAAAGGCCAGCACGATTCCCCTACCTTCACTAGGATTGCTGCGTCCAGCTGCCCAGGCTGCGCACTGCACAACTCCAGGCGGTTCCATTTACCCAGACGACCGCGCAGACGACGCCTCCTGGAGGTGCAGTGGAGCTGCCTGACCTCCACTCTCCAGCTCCCTGCTCTACTCCTGCCCTTCCCTTTCTCCTCAAGGGGCATTCTTTGCCTTTCCTCCAACGGGGTCTGGAGGAACTCAGCTCAGAAAGACAGAGAGAAGAGGAAAGACAGAGAGAGTGGAGGTGGTGATAGAGAGGGGCCAGGGCAGCAGTGGGGAGAGGAAAGGAAGGGAGGCTGGGAAGTGGAATCAAACGAGCACTGGACTTGGAGTCCAAAGCCTTGGCTTCCAGTAACAGCTCTGCCACCTCTTAGCTAAAATGACCTTGCACGAGTCTCTTGATCTCCTGAGTTTGAGTTTCCCTGCCCTGCCCTGCCCTGCCCTGCCCTCCTGGGGTGGTTGTGTGAGGCTCAGAGGACACAGCAGGTGGAAGAAGGCTCTGTCTCTGGAAGTCTGAATGTGATGGAAGGGAAGGGGAGGGTCCTGAGTGAGGGTGGGTGAGAATGGGGAGAATGAAGGACAGCGGGGGGTCAGGGCACCTGCTAGATCTGGGTCCTCTGTACCCTTCTGGTACCCCAGGCCCCTGGAGTAGCGCCTAAGAAGGTCCTGTAGCTTACCTGTCTCCAGGGCCAAGGCTTCCCCAAGACTCTTCCCCGGAGCCCCCAAAGATGACCCACCTCCGAGGGCAGGGAGGGGACTCAGGGTCCCCTTAAACTCTATTCTCCCTGAGCTGTGAGGGGGGGCGGGCCTTGGTGGCCTCTCAGGGTAAACAGCCACCATCATTTCTGTCTCATTGGTGTGTAACCTCTTGGTCTCCTGGGCCTGGGGGCCAGGGGGTGGGTGAGGCCCCCTCGGAGAGTCGCCCTGTCCTGGTCTGTGGTCACCTGCCTCCCCCGCCCCGCTGAGGTCTGGACATGCTGCCGAGGAGGCAGTGGGGACGTGGGGAAGGAGCGCCTGGCAGCAGTGCAGGATGGGGCAGAGGCGGGGCCGGCCCGGCCGCCAGGTTACCTTCTTGGTGCACTGTCTAACGGTGCTGATTAGCTCCGAGATAACCATGTCCACACACTTGAGACACGGTTCTCGGATCTTCTTCACCTGCTTTTTCACAATGGTCTCAAAGGCCATGTCTGGGGTAAAGAGCCCCGTTCTGAACGCCCGGAGCGGGAGAAGGGCAGGGTCACAGGCCAGCTCCTGCCAGGAGTGCCAGGCCAGGGCCCCACCCTGCCCCCCTGAGCTCTGCCCTCGGGCTCCTCCCACTACCTCTCTCTGGGCTTAAGTGTCCCCATCTGTAAAATGGGCAGGAGGGATTCTAAGGAAGGACTTTCCATCAATGCTTCTGGGGACAAGACAAGGTCTGCTCATATCTGCGTTTATGTCCTGCTTCCTCTTAAGAGTCTGTTCATACAAAAGGTTCTATGGTCAGAAATGAAAATTGCTGAATGGGGTTTGCCTTGGCCAGGGCAGTTGCCAGTCTATAAATTCCATGCCAAACCTTGGAATCAAACCTGCATGAAAACAGGAGCGTTTTGGTTTTGTTCACTGCCTGGCACATAGCGGTGCTTTAAGTTTTCTTATAGAAAGAACGCGTAGTGTAGATATGGGTCCTTGAAGCGGATCTAAGCTTTTAAGGAACAATCTATTTCCCAGCCCCTCTTCCTGCTCCATAGGCCTTGAGGTTGGCTAGAAGGAGGGCAGTGGGGTGGAATGGGGCCCAGTTTGGGCTGCTAGGACTATGGAGGGCCTAGAGGGTTGAGAGGCCTGTCGCATCATAAAAGGACACAGACCAATGTCTAGATGCTCCACCCCGAGCCCTACCCAATGGTTTGGCCAGCTTTATGCAGCTACCTGGACAGAACTGGGGGAGCTATCTTATCCTAGGGATGGGCAGGGCACCCAGGCCCAGAGGATGCTGCCGGCCACCTGTGTCCTGGGCTCTACCTAGCTCGTCCAGCCTCCAGGCCCTGTTCCCAGGAACAGCAAAGGAGGGCAGCAGGTTGTAGGGAGAGGGGTGGCCCTGGCCTCCCATCTACCTCTCCCAGCTGGAGGCTGTCCGAGCTGGGAGTCAGAAAGTCAGGGTTGAGGGGGTTAGGGACCAGGGCGTTTGGTCCTTCCTGAGAGATGCTTGCTTCATCACTCCCTGTGCCTCTGCACTAGACTCTCTGCCTTCTGGGGTTCAGTCTCCCTCCCCGGTCCCAATACGTGCCTAATGCCGTGGATGTTCTTGATGGCATAGCTGATCTCCCTTCGGAGTTCCTTCTCGTCAAACTCCATCTGTGTAGGAGAGTGAGAGATGGCCTGTCAGGGCCTGTCCTGCTACCCGGAAGGTCAAGATGGGGGCCCGCCCCACTCCTAGGGCAGCAGGGCCTCTAGTGGGGTCGGCAGAGGTGTACATGGGAGAGTCCTAAGCGGGTGGGTTGGGAGTCCTGAGGCCTCCTGTCCCCAGGGAGCCCGTCCTACCTTGACCAGCTCAAAAGGGAAGCGCTCATGAAAGATCCGGTTGATGCGGGCTCCTCCTGATAGTTCATAGGTGTCAATCTGGTCCCCTGAGCCCTCAATGCGCTTCTCGAAGTCCACGGCGAACTGCTGGACCATCCTGGAGGGGAGAGTGGTGTGGCCTGAGGGGGCAGCAGCCGCCCACGGAGGGGGCCCTGGGAGAGCCCTGTGCTGAGATTCCCAGAGGGGAGGGGAAGGGCTGGGAAGTCAAGAGGTGGGGAGGGCCTCACTGCAGCAGGGCCTTGGTCTTGCGAGCTGGGTCATCGGGGCGGAAGTTCTTGTACTCCTCCACCTCCTTCTCGATGGACAGCAGCTGGCTCTGCAGCTTGTTCCGCAGTCCCGGCAGTGTGTCCCGGATGTGGTTCGTCAGTTGCTGGGGGTGGGAGCGAGACAAGGGTTAAGGCCACGGTCGCAAACCCAGAATGCCCGCAGGGCCAGGCAGGGAGGAGGATGCCAGGGGAGCTGTGGTGAGGCAGAGAGTTAAAGACGGCAGCCACAGCTCTGCCCAACGGAACAAAAGCTGCCTGAGGGCAGGGCCTGACACACAGTAGGTGGTCATTGAATTAATGAGTGAATAACTTAATTTTTAAAGAAGCCAGAAATCTAGATTTTTATTTCAAATTACCTGATTTTCGACTAATTTACTATTTTTAGACACCACGAGGGCCACACAAAATGCACCAGTGAGCCCCCTTCTCAAGTCCTGGGACTCACTCTGGCTAGGTCCTCACACACAGTATCACCTTGACCCTGTAAAATGAACCTATTGAACAGGGTCTTACCACCATTATCACCATTTTACAGATGCAGAGATAGAGGCTCAGAGCGCTGGAGAGTGTCTCAGTGGGTAAGTAACAAAGCCGGGATTAGAACCCAGGTCCGTGGCCTCCAGACTCTCCGGTCCTGCCCCATGCCCCACTGTGTTCCCCATTGCCTTTCTCCTATCCACACACACACGCCTCAGCTCTGGAAGCCCCAGTCCAGGTGGAGAAACACCTTAGGGAAGCCCCTGGGATCACCGTCCCTCTCTGTAGATCAGCCTCTCCCCGATTTAGAAGGAACCAAGGTCTTCAGCTATGTACACGCCAATCCCGGCCTCCGAACTCAAGCCCTTGTCAGCGGCACCCTCTGCACAAGGCCTTGGTCTCTCTCCATCCTGGGGGAGTGGGGTGGTCCAGGGCTCCCCTCCCAGGCCCCAGTCAGGGGAAAGTCAGCAAGGCTCTGCTGCTACCTCGCTGTGGGACGGTGGGCAAGTCGTTTTGCTTTTCTAGGTCTCAGCTGGTTCATCGGTTCATCTGCATAGTGGGGATGCTAACCTCTGCTGGTCACCCTCACAAAACACACTTAAATGATTCTGTTCTCACGCTGTTTTCCCCAGGCCTCATTCTGGCCCGAGCCCTTACCTGGTTGAGGACCTTCTGCAGGTAGGGAGTGCCCATGCGGTCAGCCAGGTGGCGGTAGGACGGGTGAGACAGGAAGAACTTGCGTTCAGCGGCCAAGGCAGCTGTGATATCCTTCTTGCCATCGATGTCCTTCTGGCTCCGGTTCACTACCCCAATGTAGCCTGCGGATAGCATCGGGGTCGGGGTCAACTGGCCTTGCAGTGGGGGAAGGGGGGAAGAGGGAAGGGGAAGGGCAACGGAGAGGCCAGTGGGGTGGCCTGCCTACCTCTGCGCAGGGGGAGCAGTTTGTTCTCCAGCACGTCACGGGCATCTGTGCCCTCGTCCATCAGGTCCAGCTTGGTGATGACCCCGATGGTGCGCTGACCTGGGAGGTGGCAGTGAGGGTTGTTTGCATCTGCTCTGACATTCGCAGAGGAGGCCTCACGCACTCCCACCCTCACTCTGCTGCCCCACCTCCCCACTCCCTCCATCCCCCAGGGCTTGTTTCGGCTCCCCCGCCCCATTCATTCTTTACAGAGTGGCCAAAATGATTTTTAAAGGCACAAATTGGATCCCACCGGTACACGCTTAGATCCTCCGGTGGTTCTACGAATAGACCCCCTTATACCGTGGATAGACTCCCGGGGCCTTGCACCGTCGCTGGCTGTAGGTGGGAACATACCCTGGGGGTCTACCTCCTTGGCGACCTTGAGGGCATCAGAGTTGGCCAGGTCAGAGTTGGCCGGGGACACGGCCAGGATAAGGCAGTTCTCCTTGGTGACGAACTGCATAAGCATGTCCCGGATCTGGAACTCGATGTCTGGAGGCTGGTCCCCTACCGGGACCTTGGTCATTCCGGGCAGGTCCACCAGGGTCAGGTTCAGCACTGGACAGGGCAGAGAGAGGGCGGGCTCAAGGCGAGGGGCGTGGCCGTGGGCGGGCGGATTCAGGAACGGGGCCGGGCTTAGAGAGGATCCCCAGGGGAGCGCGGCCGCAGGTGGGCGGGGTTAGGGAAAGGCGCTGGGCTAACGCGGCGGCCCCGTTGGAGGCGTGGCCAGGAGTGGGCGGAGTCAAGGCAGGGTGGAGCTTGGGGTAGGATGCTCAGAGGAAGGGTCGTTGTGGGGGCGGAGTCTGCCGGAGGAGGGGAGGCCGCGCAAGGAGGCGCTGGCAAAGGGGTGGGGCCAAAAAAATGGCCCTAAGGGGCAAGGCTAAGCGAGGGAGCCCAGAGGCGCGGGGCGGGACCAGGTCTTCTCACCGTGCGGCGAGTAGACACGGAGGTTGATGGGCACCGGCGAGATGCCCTTGTTGGTGCCGGTGACCCGGTCGGTCTCAGCCTCGATCTCCAGGCGCACCTCCTCGAAGTCGGTGAACTTCTTCCCCTTGCAGTGCAAGAACTCGGCATATTCTGCTCCGGAAGCGGGGTGGGGTGGGGAGGTTTGGAGAGGAGGTGGGTCACCTGGATCCTATCTATCACCGGGACTAGAACATCACCCCAAACACTGCCTTCTTCTCCTTCCCCGCAACAACGCCTCCTCTCCGTTATGGGTTTTTATCCCCACTGTTCAGATGGGGAATCGAGGCTCGAAGAGGGGAAGCCCCGCCCACAGTCACACAGCAAGCTCGTTCAGCGGCGAGGCTGGACCGCTCCTTGGAGCTGGAGTGGAGGGCTGGAGAGACCAGCCGGACTGCTGGTGGAGGAGGGCACGTACCTGTGGTAGCATTGACCAGCTGCAGGACCAGTGGGCGTCTGGTGACAATGCCAGATCCTCGGGGCAGGAAGTCCCTGCAGTGAGTTTGAGGTGGGAAGAGGGTCAAGGACTGAGGAGACTCCCTCTGTCCCAGAGGTACCTGTCCTGCCACTAGGGACTCTGAAGTCCCTCAAAGTGCCCCACCACATCTTAGCCCAAGGGCTTCAGGTCACTAAGGGGGCACTGCAGCTCAGAAAGGTGGAAAAGAGATCCCCCAGGTCCCCTGGGTCACAAAACTGATGCCTCTGAGCTGCTAGGAGGCAAGAAGACCAAGTCCCCAGACCTCTCTCAGGTCTGGCTTATGTTGGTTCTGAGCCAACAGGAAGTTCTTGCCCCAACTCAGCCACTGCCATTCAACCCAGGAGAAACTGAGGCACAGGGTGTTCCACATGCATAAGTGTCCCGTGGCCACAGAATGGATCCCAAGGAAACGGAGCTGCACCTCCTCCCTTCCTTTCCGCTGTGGGGAAGGGCAGCGTCTCACTTCCTCTTCCCAGGGCCCCATCTGGCTGGGGTTGAGGATGAGGGGGATGGGGGAAGGAAGCAAGGAAAAGAACTCATGCTTCTTAAGTGCCTTCTGCATGCCAGGCTCTTTGTGGGCAGTATCTCATGGACTACACACAATAGCCTCGTGAAGTAGGTGCCATTATCATCCTCATTTTACAGATGAGGAAACTGAGGCTCAGAGATGTTCATGTTGCACAGCCAGTATCTAACAGAGCAGACCCTGGACCCATATCTGTTTGACTCTGCAGTGAAAGCTCTGTGCCCTTCAGCTCCATGCAGTCCCAGCTCCCTTGAAGAACTGGACCGAGGGGTCTCCAAGTCACCCTGTGCCCCCAGACCTGATGTCTATACCTCAGACGACAGCTTGTGCTGATGTCAACCTCAGCAGTCCTTTAAGCTAACGCTTGTGGGTGCAGATTCACTCTGTCCTGTCAGCTCTTCTCATCTCCCCTCCCCCACAGCAACACCCAGGTTGGCACGAGCTTGAGGGTGGAGGCCTCTCCAGGAATCAGGCTGTTAGAACGCACAGTCATGGGATTGCCCTGAACCCAGGAAAGCGGGGAGCAGGCTAGATCCTGAAGGACGGTGAAGATCCGGGCCATCACGCCATTCACGGAGAGGTGCATAGAGGCCCAGGAAGGGGAAAGACACACTCAAGCTCATACGGGCCTGGGACAGAGCCCGAGCAAGAACCTGAGTCTCCTGCCCCCAGCCCAGAGCCTGACCTGGGCTCCGACAGCTTCCTGCACCCCATGGCTGGGGGTGGGGAGTGCCGGGCACAACAGAGTAGGCCCCGGCTTCTCGGTTCAAGGCCTCCTCTTGGGGCCCCGAGGAGGCCTCCTCTGTCCCCTGTCCTCGCCCTGCCCCTCCCCTGGGAAGATTAGAGGCTAATGGGGAGAAATTGGCCCCTTCAATGCAGGAAGAAGGATGAGAAATCCTTCATTTATTCATCATTTCTAGGTGCCAGGCAAGTACATTTCACTTTTGCAAGACTGTGAGCTTCAGAGGGCTGGGCACGCATATCTCTGTCCACCACTGTATCCCAGTGCCCAGCACAAGACTTAGCACACAAGAGGTCCTTAATAAATGTTGACTGAATCCCCAAGTCCTCAAACAGTGCTCTGATATGGAAATTATCATTTTACGGATGAGGCAACCGAGACTCAGAGAGGTAGAATGACTTGTCCAAGGTCACCCCGTAGGGGCTGACAGAGCTAGGATTTAAACCAGAGTGCCCGTTGGACCCCAGAGCTTGGGAGTTTCCCCATCAAACCCTGCTGCTCACTAAACTCGAGGAGCCAGACTTGGCTTTTTATATAATTCATTTAAATTCCGTCTAGGACATATTTGAGAGCAGCTGCTCTGTGCCAGGCCCTGTGCTGGGCCCTGGGGATGAGAGATGATGAGTCAGACAGTTCCCACCCCGAGCCGCTCACAGTGCGGTGGGAGAGACAGACAAGTAAACAGATAATGCAATGCAGCGTGACATGTGCTGGAACAGAGGTGCACCAGGCAGCACAGAGAAGGAGGTGACAAAGTGGCGGGCGGGGGCACTTCCTCTCTTTATCTCTCCCATCCTTTACTGACTCCTTTGGGAGGGTGACCCCTGAGTATTCGGGATAGGACATCTCTCCTTACAGAGCTTGGGGTGGGCATGGGGGCCAGGGGTCTACCCTGTTCCTCACTAGCTCCTCACCCAGCAATACCATGGCAACAGTAGTTGCCACAGAAACTGCAGGAGGGGCTGGGAAGGATGGGACTCCCCACGGAGAGCCCCCCACGCAGAGACACGGACTTTCCCTGGAGCTCTTCCTTGAGAGGCCTACCCCTGCACAGATAGGCCCGCTTGGGCCCTGGCTGGCCTGAGGGGCAGAGGTCTGGGATGGGCCATAGAGAGGGTGCCAGGAGCCCAGGGCTAGGCTGGAGAGGGTGGCCAGGGGTCTGGGCCAGCCTGTGCCAAGTCACTGGCTCCCCAGGGCTACTTAAAGGACAAGCAGCTTATGGGAAGCGGAGATTAGAGGGCAGGGCCATGTGTGGGAGCAGAGCCCCTCCTCAGACCAGCATCTCCTGGGCCAAGGTGGAGATGCTGGTGACCGGGTAGGGAGGGGCCCCATCTCTGCTGTGGCTTTGCATGGTGGGAGGGCATCAGAGCTCCCTGGGCAGCTTGTTTAAATGCATATTCCCTGGACATGCTGGGTTAGAAATTCAGGGGGCCGAGGGGCAGAGGAGGGGAGGAGGAGATCTGGATTTTAAACATGATCCGCATGTGATTTTCATGTTCCCTTTCAAGTTTAAGGATCACTGCTTTAGTGGTTAGGAGCTAGAGCCAGGCATAGGCCCTGGGTTCGAATCCCAGCTTGGCCATTTCTTGGCCTGGTGCCCTAGGGCAAGTTGCTTCACTCTCGGACCTCAAAGTCCGCAGCTGTGAACTTGTGCCATATACACCGGGAGTCACGCACTACCCATGTGTCTGCGGGAGGATTCATGGAGCCTTTCCACAGAAAGAGCTTAGCCCACGCCCCTTACGTAGTAGGCGCTCAACAGCCCAAGGGCGCTGCCGAGGACCGCCCCCTGTTCTCAGCCGCCTCCTCGGGAGGGTTCCCAAGTGTCAGCAAAAAACCCAAGATCCTGACGAACCCCTTGCATCACCTCCTCCAGGCACTGAATCATCTCAGGATTCTGACCACGAAAAGTTGGACGGAAATGATGGACATTGAACAGGAAAGGCTTCAGAGGCCATCTCATTCCCCTTTCATTGTCCAGAGGGTGGGCCAGAGGCCCAGAGAGGGGCAGGGAGCTGTGAGGCCACACGGTGATGAGAGAGGTGACTGAGATGGGACCTACGCCCGTAGAGGCAGTGAAGAGCACCGGCTGGTTCCCGTGCCGAGGCCGAGAGCCTCACTCCCTGCCAGATTCCCGTGCTGGACACGGGCTCAGCACACAGTAGGTGCTCAAGCAAATCTCCAAGGAGGGAGCGCAGCTCAGGCCTAGCAGCTCCTCAGCTCCAGCCTTTCGCCTGCACACACTGTCCCCCGTGCTCTGTTCAAGTGCCCCGTCGCCTCTTTACTGGAATACGGGCCTGATCCAGCTTCCGGCCAGTGCCGCCCCTGCACCTCCCACCCAAGTCCTGGTTAGCCTGAGGGAGGACAGAACAGGTGCCCAGAGAAAAGTGTTGGTCCCACCAGCCTCACACACCAGGCTGTGTGGGTGGGATGGAAGGTAACATGCCAGCTCTCCCCACGCATTCTGGGCAGATGGTGGTTTCCCAGGGAGGCCTTGCCTTGCCATCTGCAGAGGCACCTTCAAACCTGAAGCACAGGGAGGATGAAATAAACACCTCTCAGGACCTCCAAACACCACACGCTCCCTGTCTGAATTGGCACTGTCACCCCCAGAGGGGTCTGGAGAAAGTACACCAAAGGTAGCCCTAGTCTGGTGGCTCAGATCTGGGGCCAGAGCTCAGGGCCCCTGGTTCCCAGGTCCCATTGAATGCAGACTATGCCAGAAACTATCACGCTTGGTCCAGCATGTCCCCAGTGCCTGTCATCCTTATAAGTCTCCTATTTCCCAGGCTCTGATGTCACACAGGCCCGGTATTGAATGTCAGAGCTGCCGCTTAGGAGCTGTGTGCCTGTGGACAAATGACCATGCCTCTCTGAGCCTCAGTTTCCACCCGCATCAGTCAAATGGGTTGCCGTGAGGCTTATAGAAGTGAATGCCTGCACGAAGGGTCGCTGTTAGGACTACAAATTATGATAACTTATTGAGCAGTCTGAGAACACAGGCTGGGGTCCCACAGCCATGTCACCAGATGATACAGCAGGAAGGGAACTGGAAGGTAGGTCTCCTGGGGGCTCATTAGGGGAGTGCGTGGTGGGCCAGGATATATCCAGCTAAATCTTGTCCCTGGAAGTGCAAGGGACAAGGGGTCGGGTGGGCTCTGAGGTGCCCTCCGATGCAAGGAGCTGGGGTGGAGGCGAGGGAGTAGGTGGGCCAAGAAATACAGTTGAGAGGAAGTGAGGCGGCCTCCACATAACAAGTCCCTCTCTGTTCTTGCTGCCCCAAGAGGACCCAGGCGTGCCCATGAATTTCCAGCAGAGGTTCAAACATTTTGGCTTCCCCTGCAGTTCCGATGTCCCGTGAGCAGGGACTGGGCTGGTCCTGTTTACCACCCTATCCTCAGCACCCAGCACAGAGCCTGGCATGTACCGGGCATTCCTTGCACATTGCTTTCGTTTTCCTACCATCCTCCTCACTGTACAGACATGGAAACTGAGGCACAAGAAGGGAAGCGTGTTGCCCAAGGTCATAGTACAAGTTGGAGATGGGTAGGACTGGTACCCAGGGAGGGCTCCGGACTCCAAGTCTGGTGCTTTCTCCACGACAACCATTTTCTCTATTAAAAAAAAATTTATGATCTTCCCTACGTCGTACCCTTTCATCCTTCCGACCTCTCTCCTTTGCCTCTTTCCCGCCTTCCTTTCCTTCCTTCCTTTCTCCTTCCCTTCTTTCCTTCCTTTCCTTCCTA